TCAGCCACTCTGTGTGAAAAGATGTGGTGGCCCATTCCTGTAAAGATTTACAGGAATCCTATGAGGCAGTTCTGTTCCACTCTGTCACCTGGGGATTCTACGAGTTGAATGGCACAGGTTTGGGACCTGCTATTAAGAGGAAATACTAATAATTCAATCGCTTCAAAAGCAAGTGCAAGAAATTTCACAAGTATGAAAGATTGGATCAAGGGTTAAAGAATTAATAATTGAACAGTAGACTTTGGGTTTTCTACTAGTGTGTTTTAATATGATTGTCTTGTTCCCTTTCTACTGTGCATAAAAATATAAAATATCTTTTAGGATAAAAATATTTTAACACACATCATACATTATTGCTCTTGTTTTTAACTTTTTGACAAAACAAACATCTGTTTTAGGTATTGAGGATTTTTCTATTTAATTGAGTTCTCATTTTTGATTTCCACTTGTGCATTTTTAAAAGGGACTCTCATTTTAAATGATAAAGTTACTCTGCTTGTCATATGTCACAAAACCACATAACGGGTTTTCACTTTCAGGTAAATTGTCAGCATCCAAAGAGAAGTTGTCTATCCCGGATATTTCAAGCCAAATATTAGAGAACACAAAGCAGCCTTTACCAAGCTCTGTGAATGGTTCCCAAATCAAGACTCCGGTTCCCAAAGCCAGGAAAATGATCTACAAATCACATGATTTAAAGCAAGATGACCACCAGTCTTTTCCTAGACAAAGGACAGACTCCCTGAATGCAAGAGGGGCTCCCCGAGGGATCCTAAAGCGCAACTCCAGCTCCAGCAGCACAGACTCAGAAACTGCCCGCTTGAATCAGAGCCTTGAACCTAAAAGCAAAATCATGTCACCGGGCATTACCATCCATGAGAGGATCTCTGAGAAGGAGCCATCTTTAGATGGTGGCTCTACCCCAAGCACACTGGAGCCATTAAAGCACGTGAGGTTCTCTGCAATGAAGGACGAGCTTCCACAAAGTCCTGGGCTCGTCCTTGGCCGAGAAGTGGGTGAATTTAGTGTTTTAGAATCTGACAAGTTACAAAATGCAGCGCAAGACATGGGGGATACAGATGTGTCTCAGAGTGAGCCTGAGTTTCCCCAACACGGAAAACCTTTACCGTTTGATCAGCCAGTCTCAAATCCTGATGCATCAAAGACTGAAACACAGCCGCCCCAAACTTCTGGTTCTTTTGCATTCAATGGACCCAATTCTGACTCTCCGGTTTCAACTGCAAGACCACAATCCTTTCAGAATTCACTGGCCATAAACGAACACAAAGCTAAAAGGCTCCAGTCAGATTTGTCTAAAAGCCCTGCTGGTAAGAGAGTTGTTACCAGGTTGTCAAAACTGGCACAGTGTACTAAGAAGGGCCAAGCCAGCCCCCCTTCAGGAAGCACAGTTTTGCCTCTTCGGCGTTCTGGTGCAAGTATTCAAACATTGCTAGAATTCAGGAAGGCATTACTGAGGATTGCTTATATTTATAGGATTTGAAGTTTGTCCTTAATCGCCAATAACTAAAAGAACTAGGATAGCACAATGTCTGATCCATTTTGCTTTACAAAATTAACTGCATAAACTATTTAGTTAAACCAATAGAAATGTTTTAAGTTAAACCAAGATGTGTGGCTAGAGTAAGAATTAAAGAAATATTTATATCTTTGTATGAAGCAAATATATTATTATTACTCACCTAATGAAAATTTTGTCAGTTACCCTAATGAAACATCATTAGTTACCCTTTAACCAAACTTTGACATCCCTTTTAATCTCAGGGGGAAAAATCCTTATTTTCTTAGCCTTGAAGAGAAGGAAACTAAACTTAGTATGTACTATGAAAAACCCGTAGACTTTGATCTACCTAGAGCTCCCAGCCATTTGTTCTTAGAGTTTAACAACTGGCAACCAGGTTTCTCTCTCGACTGGTGTAAATCTAATGGCAATGAGGAAGGATGTTGTTTTTCCTGATAACTCGTCAACTGCTCCTCTCCTAAATGCCTTTCAAGTTCTCAAGTGAGGCCCTCCTGATTTTTATGCTTTAAAAACAAATGATGAGGAAAATGTTGTGTATTATTCTCTCATCTTCAATAAGTCTACATCCAACACTCGTACTATCTTTATAGTCAGGAAAGTTTCCATGGAATGGTAAAATTTCTAACTCAATTGCTCTTTTTCTCCTCTCCCACATAGTATGAAGTTAATACGGAATCACTTTTGCTGTGCCCTGCAATTTCATACTTGTCCTGGTCACTTTATTTTTAAAAAAAAATCATTTTATTGGGGGCTCGTACAACTCTTATCACAATCTATATATACATCCATTGTGTCAAACACATTTGTACATTTGTTGCCCTCATCATTCTCAAAATATTTGCTTTGTACTTGAGCCCTGGGTATAAGCTCCTCATTTTTCCCCTCCCTCCCCACTCCCTCCTCCCTCATGAACCCTTCATAATTCATAAATTATTATTAATTTGTAATATCTTACCCTGCCCTATGGGTCACCCTTTTTCTAAAAGGGAAAAACACCTTCCATGGCGTTTATTTATTATTTCACTTCACCTTGCAGATCTTCAGATTTAAACTTTTTCTTTTCTTTTTTTGAATAATAGTTTTATTGTCATATCTTACTCGTTCCAATATATCCCTATCCTTCCTTACAGTTCTGTTATTCAATTCCATCGGGGAGGACCATGGGTATTTTAAATATTTTGAACACAATAATGCATTTATCTTTTTACATCAAAACCAGACTATTCTTCAAGAAATAAGTAGATCATATTGAATGAAATTGCTAAAGTTTAAGTAAAAATCAGCAAATAATTGCATGATGTTTATGTAAATGTTTATTTTAAATGTGAAAACCATTTTTCTTTATTTTCTCTTATAATGATCAATAGAAACATTTGGCAAACCTTTCCTGTTCCAAACTGTACCATTTTTCTCTCTTTATAGTTTTGTACTAACTACTTGTTTGTGCTGTCCTTTTTCCCATCCCATCCTGAAGGCAGGTCAGTGATATTGACTTCATTGACCAATAGCCCTTCTCCTCTCAATGACTACTCTAAACAAAGTCTTATAGATTCCTTTATGTCTTGCTTTTTCTCCTAGTTGCTACAATGTATACATGGGGGCATCCAAAAATTGGTAAAAAAATTAGATTTAAAAGATAATGGAAGTTTTATATACACTTTTTGAAACCCCGCGTACAATAGAAAACCAGAACTAAAAGCATTGCAACAGTAAATGTGTAAATAAGGGCTTGACTTTCGCTGTGAAGGTCAGGACAGCCAATATACTAGTGACTATCAGACTGGAAAATACACACATACACACACACACAGAATTACAGAATTCCGGGTGGGGGTGGAAGTGGAGGGTAGGGGGGTATAGGGGGACAAAAAAACATTTACATGACACTGAATTTTGTAAAAAACAGTTTTCTTGTTTTTTTAAAGTACACTTTCATTGTAATAGATTTTAAAGGGAAAAGCTCACATAGAATAAAACATAAACTATCTGCGGTATCATTAACAGTTGCTAACATTGAGTAGTAGAGACGTCCAATAATCTTTAAGCATACATAATTTTTAATTTTACTTATACTGTTCAGACTTCTTTTTTCACTAACAGTATATAACACGTATCATTTTTTCATATTCTTTAAACAAGCCAACACACAATTCTTAAAGGCTTATGAAAGATGCTTCACAACTATTGGTATGTATCTAGTCAAACAGTGTTTGATTGAAGAAGGAAACAATTATGTACTGTGTGCCAAGTCTTGTGTAAGTGTTTATTGTTCTCACATTTAGCCAGTGCTGCTGATTAAAATTAAAGACAGAATTTTATAAGCTGACATGATTTCTAGTGCAGTTGAAATGTGGCTGACTTCATAAAACTTCTGCTCATACAGTTTCTAGGAATATTTTTGTACTTATATTGCATAGCTTAGCATGTATAAGGAAGGCAGAAAGATGCTGAAATTCATGAGTCTTAACTAAAGGGCTCCCTGATCTAAAGTAGTGTGTTAAATGTCCTGTGATTGAGGCTCAGAAAAGATTTACTCTGATTTCTCGATAACTTAGAAAGAACTTAAATATTTTCTCTAGCCTGCTGGCCATTATCAGGAAACAAGTAGAGGTCACATTCTTCTTCATCATTCCTCATTTTTATTTGAATTTGGCTTATAGAAACAATTTATTACTTAAAAAATTATAGAACAGAAATGAGGAATTACGGAGGGGCTTGTTGAGATCATGGTTCTCAGATTCCAGTTTACATAACAATTACTGAAATAGTCAGGATTCCTGGATTCCATCTTCATAGATTTTGATTTACTATTTCAGGAATAAGGCCCAGAAATAGAAATATCTTAATTGCTCCATTCAGATTTTCTGAGGAAAAATATTTGTTTTGTTTTCCTTAAAAGTTATTTCTCCAGACCCTGAGTCACCTAAGCCTGTGCTTCTCAAACTGGAATAAATCCACTTGGGGATGGGCAAAGCCATCAAGTCGAATAGTATGTCTTTCTGGATTCTCAGTTTTGCTCAGAGCGCAAAAGAAAGTTAATATTTTAAGATGTAACTTGGAGCAGAATGCAAAATTCACATGAAATTTTAACGTAAACCAGGAACTTCAAACATTTTCCAAATTGGCCAACACCTCATACTTTCAAGGATCCACATTTACCTCTCTTTTCTGAGATAGGACACCTTAGGTGAACTACCTTAAGTAGGACGATTCAAAATAGAACCTCCAAGACATGGTGATGTAAAGGGCTAGTGATAATGGAATGAAATACGTCTCTTTCGAAAATAATTTGAGTGATTGACTAATTCTTTGAGCATTCTCTTTTCTTATTTAGAAAAGCATTTCTATGTTGCAGATGAACTGCCTCATCGCGCCGAGCCTGAGCCATCTCGGGTGCCTGCTCGCAGTTCTAGAGACCAGCAGCAAGGTAAGCCTGCTCTTCTGACCGCTCTAACAGCCAAGGCTTCCTCCAACTCGGGTCCAAATGCCACTGAGATAATGAAGACAACTGACGATTCCATATCTAAAGTCCTAGACTGGTTCAGTCGAAGTTCTCATTCAGGTGACAATAAAGCATCTCTCAAACATCCTCGAGGAATAGAGCCCAAAGGAAAAACAGATGTAAAATCACAAACTGCTATTGCCTTGGTGCCAGATGACACAAGTCTGAAAGAAAAGGGCTCAAAGGCCCTATCTTCTACCCAAGGTGAACATAAGCCCGTGGGGTCTGAGTCAACATCCCTAGAAGAGGGAGATCTTCTACTTTCTGGAAATTACCAAAAGAATGATGTGAATATCGAAATGAAATCTTTGAATTTGTCCCAACAAGGCGGCACCCCAAAGGAAGGCCTGGGCATATTGCAGCCTTTCGAAAGCTATGGTGCACATCAAGGAAGTGAAAATATGGATGATGGCCAATGGTCAAAAAGCACAGAAGAAACTCTGATCTCTCCCCCAACCAGCCAGGATTCTTTCAATGCTCTCAGCAGGTCTAACACCAGAGACCAGGTTCCCTGCCGCAGTCAGGATACTGACATCTTAAATGTCGACAAGTCCAAACTTCATATCCATGAAAAACCCCACTCAGAAATGGATTTTGACTCTTTCGCGGTTGTGCGAGAACCCAGTTTGAAAGCCAACATGAAAGCAGAAAGGAAGAGCAAAGGAAGAGATGCACATGTTCTGAAAGCTTCCTTAGAGGCAGAGAATATTGAGTTGCCACCTGGGACTGAAAAACATAGATCTCCTTGGACGAAGGCTGAGGTCGAACTCCAACAAGGAGCCAATGAGCTTCCCGACAACCATATGCTAAGAGAAAAGTATAAGAGAGTGAGTGATAGAATATCCTTTTGGGAAGGAGAAAAAGCTGCTCCTAAGTTAACTTACAAAGATCCCACATCTTCACGTAGCCAGAATCAGCCTTCTGCTGACCCATATCAGCCCATGACATCCCTGGGAGTATACAACACTATGTCTCCAGGCCAGTGTGAAGATAATCAAGAGACTATGAAACGGGTGTCCCTAGATAAGGGTGGTCCAGCATCCCATCTTTCCAATTTTTATTCCTCCAATAAACCTAAAGAAACGAAGTTCCCCAAACCAGAAATGTCCAGCAAGAAGGAGCCTATAACAACATTTCCAGGAGCAAACAATTTGCCTCCGGGAAGGGCCATTCCTGCACTGGCATTGCAACATTCATTAAAGGGTGACAGTGAAATGAATAGTCCTTTGGAGAAAGACCGCTCTGTAATTGGTGACTCAAAACCCAACTTTACAGTTTTGTCCCTAAAAGAAAGAATGGATGAAGGCAACACAGAGCAGGTCTATGATCACTCTCAGTTTGAGAATCTGAAGAAGTTCTGGGACTTAGGAGCTAATTCAAACCGTGTGGCCAATGTTGAGAGGAAAAGTGCCATGATGAGCCCTAAGAACCCTTGGCTTTTAAGTAGCCAGAAATGCAAGCAGTCTGGTGACTTTAAATCACCTGGGGAAAACACTCGTGAAGTAGAGGCACTTCTAAACCACAAAAAAGTTCCTGCAGGAAAGGAAATTGAGAAATTAAATTCAAAGGGCATTCCCCAGGTGCTACCAGAGGAAACCACATTTCTATGGAGACCACCCAGAGCATCCATTCAGCAGTTGCCAGAAAATGAGTTGTCCAAGGAAAATGTGGAAAAGAATACAGAATGGTGTGCTATTCCAGTAATCAAGAAAGAACAAGCTTACTCAGACCAAGCGATTGAAGAGTCCATAGTGAAAACCAGTGTTTTGCCTAGAGAGGACAGAGATGCATTCCATGACAGCCTACAGAAGCTGCTTGCAGGTGCTTCGTTACCAGCAATCCAACCTTCTCATGAAAAAAGCCATGTTAAACTGGAACTTGAACCAGGTTTTGCAGAAAATAGAACATGGTGTTCCAAGACAGCCGATGTTGAGGGAGAAGCCAAACAACCTAAGGAGATCATCAGTGAGCATGTAGATAAAACAGTAGCTCCTCCAAAAGTAGAACATCACACTTTCATGGCTAGTCTGGACAAACTTCTGAAGGAATCATCGGAGATTTCACTCTCTCCATTGCAAACCAAGTTGAAACCTGTTACCACTGGAACCAATACTGGGCCTGAAGAGAGTAGGTTTTTTAAAAAAGTCATGGAGAAGAGTCACAACATTTTAGACAAGAGAGAGATGATAGCTCCTCTTCCAGAAAATGAAGGGAATTCAGGAAAAGTAGCTGTCCCCCAGGAAGTTCCAAGTGGTGAGTGCCAGCCAGAGACAGAGCGCTCGCTTACAATGGCTGCAGAGACCACTCACCGTCTTCTGAGAAAGGGTTCTCTGGGTGAGGAGGTCACTTCTCCTCAAGATAAGCCTTTTTCACAAGATACTCATTTTGTTCCCCAAGATAGGGCGGTGCCTTCTCAAAAGGAAATCTCAGAAACTGTAGAAAGAGTCATTCTTCCACCCAAAACTGCATGGAATGACATACATGCTGCCTTTCAGGAGCTACTTAGGGAAGCTCAGTTGAGTTGTTCAGCTGAAGGGGAAGTATTCTCTGGAGACGTGAAACCAGAAGGTCCTGAAGGAGTGCAAGCAGCAGGTAGCACCCAAGTTTCTCAGGGAGTTATCGTCACACCAAGAGCTACAACCATAGTTCCAGACAGAAATAATGTTTCTTCTTTCCATTTAGCTGCTGATAAACCTCATATAATTAGACCTTACAGAGCACCCCCAGATCAAGTGACCCAAATGTCTCCTTCAGAACAGAACCTTCCCTCATCTGGTTCCACTGCTGATCTGTGCAATAAAGAGCTTCCCCAGAAAGGGGCAGAAAGGAGAAGGGAAGCAATTACTCAACCAAAATCACAGCTCCTCAAAGTCAGTGCTGGTTTAGAAAAACAAATGGAAGAAATCATTGAAAACTCCCCCTCAAACTATGAAGACAATGCACGAACTGTTTCTCCATCCACGTTAATAGAGAGTGCTGAGGATCCCAGGCAGGCTGCTTCTGCATTTCTTCCCAAAGAGATAAAAGAAACAGTAGAAAAGTCTGAAGCTCCCTCAAAAACTGAGAGTGCTTTTGATATTGGTTTTGAGAAGCTCTTAGAAGAAATAGCTGCAGCTCCCCATCAGCTCCAGAGGTCAGTGGAGGGGGAGGTTCCTGAGAAGTCCCCACAGTCAGAGAAGGCCAGGGTGTTGAGTGTGGTGCCCCATTTTCACCGGACAGCCTCAGAGACCTTGGGCATAAACTCTAAGAGTAATGATTTGAAATCTCTCGTCAATCAACTGGATAAAGATTTAGGGACCAGTGGAACTATAAACTCCCCAGGGGACAGGCACAGGGAGAGTGAGCTTCCAAAGAAAAAGGGGAGTTTTCAGGAGCCTGGCTTCCAACAGACTCCTGAAGCAATTTGTGGGTCCGGAAATCAGCAACCCATTCCTCATCTGATGAACCAAGAAAACTCTACAAAAGCAAGTAAAGTTAAACTGTTTCTGACATCATCATATTATAAGAGACAAGAGAAAGAAGAAAAAGGTTTTACTGATTCTGAATTTTCTGATGGAAACATCAGTTCCAACGCAGAAAGCTGGAGAAATACATCCAGTGAGCATTTTGAAATTTTTAACGCATTGATTATTGACTTTACATTTTGGAATGCTGATGTAAAGAATGATACTTTTTTAAAAATTTGGGATGAATTTGACACTCCTTGATGCTACTTTAGTTCTTTTAAGCCCTTATTTTTTTTAAAGTGTACATTTCATTTTATATTCCTTAATCAGATAAATAACAGAGACAGCTTTGTTACATGTTGTATTTTACAATCTGACCTTATGTCTCTTTAAAATAGCAATCAAATTTTTAGATTTAAAATATATATATAAAAAGACTTTTCCGGAGGGGTTATAAGGCACTTTTAAACATTCAAGATAATTTTTTCTGCTGGAAAACAATGAGAATTTTTTCTCGTTAGTCCACAAAGAAGCCTCTAGTAGGATTTGTGGAAAATGAGCCCAAATTTCTCTTTTAGGAGCAATAACCACTACAATAAAATTTACAGCGAGCTGCTTCTGACTCATAGCAACCCTGTTACTCTAACTCACAGCCATCGAGGCAATTAGGACTCATAGCAGTCCCATAGGGTAGGGTAAACCTGCCCCTGTGGGTTTCCCAGACTGTAATTCATTATGGGAATAGAAAGCCTTGTCTTTCTCCCATGGAATCACTGGTGGTTTCAAACTGCTGACCTTGAGGTTAGCAGCCCAATGTGTGACCACGACACTACCAGGGCTTCTCTTTAGGGGCCATAGTGATGGCTAAATGTCAAGGACAAAATTGCGGATGGGAACTTTTTCTCAGATACCTTGTACTGTGGTGTTTTTGTTGCCACTCCCTTCCTCTCATTTTTAGTAATTACATAAGCTTAGCTATCTGCAGAACATTCCCCCTTCTAGAGTATGACTTTGGTCAGGTGACTTCACCTGGTTCCCCCTAACTTGGTCCAGTGTTCAACTACAGCCTCAGCTAAGTTTAGAGAGCTCTTACTTCGCCACCACCTTCGTCTAAGTTGACTTGAAGGGTGCAGATGCCAACTGCACTGTTAAACACAGAGCTGATCTGTTTCACGTTCCGATCAGTCGCTAGGCATTTTAGCAGAGAACCCTGGGAACACATAGAAACAAGACGTTAGCTGATTAGAACGATGAAAGGATAGAGGATGCTCTCTGGCTGGCTCATTTTAACCAGTTGTGCAACTACGAATGTTGATCACTCGCCACACTGTTTAATACAGTTTATCACATTCTAGCTCACTTTGGTTTCAGTGAGAGCCTGTCAGCTTTATTGAGCGACTGGTTTCTGAGGTGTGGATTCCCTTGCAAGTAACTGTTAAGTCCCATTCTTGAGAATTGACTAAAGAATAATAATTTAATTCCAATGGACATGAACCTTCTTTAATAAACAGTACTAGCAATAAAATAAACATGAAATAACATTATTCATCTCTAAAAGCAGACAAATGAAGAATATAAGCTAGCATGCTAACCTTGTTTAGGCAGACTCCTCTTAAGCTACCCTGTGAGTTATCAGAGTAAACTGACCCATAATAGAAAGAATGCTTGCAAATTTGAAGAATATTGCTTAGTATCTACAACCATATTTTTATATAGTACACCAGTATAATTGAACAGTAAAAAACCTATCTAAAAATGAAATAATATCAAATGACCACTCAGTTCAAGCCATAGAAGGGATTTTAAAATTATAAGCCAAGGAGTTGTTTAAAATGGTACTGCCATGATTTTTATATCTTTTAATCTATTAAGATAAAGCAATCAAGGGAAGGACTGGATAAAGGAAGGGAGAAACCTAACCATGAGGGAATCATAATTTGGGTGCACAAACTAAGATACCTGACTCCTAGCTGAGCTCTTAACCAGCCAATATTCAATGAGCTTCTTAAAGCAACAAAAAGATTCCATGAGCAAATACATTTTGAAATGCTAGGAGATATGGTACATTTATTAACATATTGAGGTCTCTGAAAAGACCTGCAGTAAGAAATATGTTAAATGAATACAGAAAATCTAATCTCCTCCTCCTCAGTTTTTGTTTTTTTGGGGGGTCTTTTTGAGGGGGAAGGCTGTGGGCATTAAGGGGTTCTAAAATGCCTTTACTTTGATAAAATAAAGGTATTCATAAATCAGTTTCCCTCCTCGTTATAAAATGTTATGTTATTGTTGAGAATATACACCACAAAATCCTATGTCAATTCAACCATCTCTGCAGGTACCCTTCAGTGCCACGGACCCCGGTGGGTTCGTGCGGCCATTCTCCCTCCTTTTCTGAGTTAATCCTCACATTCACATAAGCTCCCTGCCCTCTACGGTGCTTCGCAAATCTTTCAAGTTGCTGTTATATATTTCATACCCAATACATAGTTCTTAAAAGAGCACAACGCTCAAAAAAAATTTTTTAAGAGCATAATGCTCAAAGAAGTTTCAGCTTTCCACTTCTTTTTAAAAGGTCTAACCCTACTGCTGTTGAATTGATTTTTGACTCATAGACAAACAAATGAAAAACCAAACTCACTGCCAGCATCAACTGCTTTGTTGGGTTTCTGAGACTTTAAATCTTTTTGAGAGTAGACAGCCTCATCTTTCTCCTAAGGAACAACTGGTAGGTTTGCACCGCCAACCTTGCTGTCAGCAGCTCCGTGCTTATCTTACTATGCCACCAGGGCTCACTTGTGATTCATAGTGACTCTTTATAGGGTTTCTGAGGCTGTACTGAACAGATAGCCTCATTTTTCTCCAACAGATGCTGGTGGGCTTGAACCACTGATCTTATGATTAACCACCCAACATTATCCAGCAGCACTACTAGAGTTCCTTTTCTGCCTCATTTTATTTCCTAGTATATTTCTTGTAAATTTACCTCAGACATGAAACCCAAAACTGCATCTGTTGATCTGAAGAATCCACTATACTCAATTATACACAGATGTTAAACATCTGAATCTTTCCTCCCTTGGTTTACAGCTATTTTTTAATGCAGAAAAATCACTTCCTAACTATTGTCTTCAAAAGCTAAGCTTTTAAGTGGGAGATTTAATGCCTGGCACAGACAAAATTATATGCCGAAAATAGATGCATCTATTTTCTAAGAAGAGATCACATTTCTATTAATGCTGTAATGTTGTTTATGATAACATATTTGCAAATATTTCTTGATAGGCAAATTATCTTTCCTTTTTTTAAAGAATATGCTAACCCCCAATGCCAAACCTATTGTCAATGAGTCCATTCTTGAAAGTCCAAACCAAACCCATTGCTACTGAGCCAATTCCAACTCATAGCAACCCTAGGTAGGGTTTCTGAGGCTGTGTGTCTTTACAGGAGTAGATAGCATCATCTCTCTACCCCCGGAATGGCTGGTGGATTTGAACCACCAACCTTGCAGTTGTCAGTCCATTGCTTACCTGACAGTAGCACCAAAGCTCCTGAAAGCACCCACTAATAGTGGAGAAATTTTCTTTGCTGTGAAAGCAAATGCTTCTTACAGTAAATAAAAGTAGAGTGATTTATGGCATGTTGTCATCTTTCAAGCTATTATTTCAATGTCCATTGGTTTTTAAGAGGTTTTTGGTCTTGTATTGTGCAGCATTCATCGGTTTTGTCTTGTAACAGGTTCAGAAGAAGAACCCAGCCCTGTTTTGAAATCTATGGAAAGGAGTGCACCTAGGAAAATGCCTTCCAAAAGTTTAGAAGACATTTCATCAGATTCATCAAGTGAGAATAAAGGTTGCCCCACTCTTCGTGCTCATCTAAGCTTAAAAATGCTTGTGTGCTCTTCTGTGTCCTGACTGCCTGCTGTTGTGCATGCAGATTAACAGATGAGAATTACCATTCCCAAGTAAACTGAAGAGGCTCCCCCTAAAGTGACTGGAAGGTTACTTTAAAGTCACATAGGGGCTTTGATTACCCAGCACACTTTAGTTTCCTTGAATCAAAAAATCCTAACTTGTGTGTTCATTCAAGTTCATTCATTGCATTTTAAAGGATTGTGGTAGGTGTAATACTAGTTATAGATAACATTGAGCACAGTGTGCTTTGGCCAAGTGTTTTACATCCATTATCTCACTTAATCCTCTAAAGAAAGAACCCTTTGAGGGATGAATTATTATCTCCATCTCACAGATGAGGAAAAGAAACTCAGAGAGGTAAAGTAACTTGCTTATTGTCACACACCAGACTGGGGGGACTCAAGGTCACCAGACTATTAAAGAGTGTTCGTGAAGTGACAGTGTTATTTATGACAATGTTGGATGTCAGTGACTTTTACAGGATATGGAGATGGATTAGTCCCTGGCTTGAAAAGACTTTTTTCCCCCCTTTTACCCCTTCTTTCCTATGGACATGTTGCTTTTTAATCCTGGAGCTATAAGCCCCAATACTGCCTGACAGAGCACTTTCAGCACACTGTTCCACATTGGCTGCTGCTTTCACTGGTGAAGGGTTTCTTAAAGACTAACAGACAAGTGAATGTGTAGGGACTTGTGTGTTCCAGGCAATTGGGTTTAGAAATCATGAATTCCAGCAGTTTTGCTGTTACTCTTTTTAAGCCAAAATGTGCCCTTGGGATTAGAGAGAGTCATGAAAAGACTTTGTTGAGTGAAAGTTAACCCACTGCCAAACTCAGGTGAGGGATAAGTGACCTGGTGGTGTTACATGTCATATTTTTAAATGAATCTGCCAGTCAGGATAAAAAAAAATCCACTGCTCCAAAAAATTCCTTCAATCCAGAGATTCCCAGGGCCCTGACGGCTCTATTTCTGATTTGGAATGCAATCTTAACCCTCCCAAGGATCTTGGAATATCAGGGTTGGAAAGGACCTAGAGGGTCACCCATTCCAGCCTCTCCTCAAGGCAGAAATTCCCTCCAAAGCCTCCCCAACAGGTGGCCAACCCCCGCAGCCTCTTGAATGCTTCCAGAGTAGGCCAATTCAGCCCTTTTTTTTGACGCCCTGATTATTCATCTGTATATTGATGATGGGCCCTGAGGGGGCAAAAAAAAATTAACAGTTGTCCAATTTAGCAAACCTCTTGCCTGCTAAGCATAGGACAATTTCCATGGTGCAGCTTTAAAGTACTCGGGAATGTGTAGGGTTAAAAACAAAACCAAAAAACCCACCCTCAGCTGACGGGTATTCCTGCATGCTTCATTTCAAATACCGATACCCACTCTCACACTAGCCTGCCAAGATTCCACTTAGCAGCTGGTCCCCAGTTACATCTTTTCAGTTGACTTCCCAGGCAAGCCTCCCAGAGGCATATGCAAACGATGATGCGCACACACAAATATTTGTTAATAGACCAAGGGTTTGGGAAGGGTTTGGTCATGGCTAGCATTTTACCCTTTCCAGAAGACTAGAGAAGCTCCTGCAGTGTGTGCTTTCTCCTGCTGCCGGCTGGCCGACTGCTTGCTCAGAGCTAACCATCTAACCCTGGGGAGTCAGTGTGCAGCAGTGTGCTGATGTCAGCGGCATCGGGGCTGAAAGGGGAGCTCCCGCTATGGCACAGGCTCAAGTAGCTAATCTACAGAGAAAGTATTTTGGGGAAGACATCTTGGTTGCACCCTCACTGCATCTTGATTAACTGCTTCCAACTCCGGGGGCTTCCAGGGACAGTCTCATTGTTCTCTCTCTCCCGGGGTCAGCCGCGTTAACCGTTTCTTAATTTCTCCTGAACAGATCAAGCAAAAGTAGATAATCTGCCAGAAGAATTAGTACGTAGTGCTGAAGATGGTAAATATCTCTCTCTATTTGCATGTCTGTCTGTGTACTAGGTCCTTGGGTGATTTGGGCAGCCACCGGGACGCAGCTGTTGGATAAATAGAAGAACGTCATTTGCCACTGTGTGTAGGGAATGGCACTTAAGTTATTATAAAGCAGCTCTGACTTGGTGCATTTAATGTAACTGTTTACATTCGTAAAGCTGCTGTTGGTGAAACCTTGTAAGGATGTCACCGGGGACCCTTGAGAAGCGAGGGTTTCTATAAATAAGAAATTGTATTTCTGTGGGTCTGAGCCGATTTTTGCTACTCTTGCTGGCAGAAACAGGAAAACTAAAGTGGATTCCTGGGCTCAATTATTCGTACATTTGATCCTCAAATCTCAGGAAGTAGATTCTGTGGACACAGCTGGTAAAGCCTGAAGTTCAAAGGAAAGGGTCCCAGGACAAGGGTGGGCAACCTTCCTCCACTCAGTCGGAGCCCGTGGTGAAATAATTTGATTTGCAATGTTAAGGAACCAGAAAATCGCAAAGCTTTTTGATGGGTTTGGTATTAACTATTAAGTTCAGCATTTACCCAAATGTATAATTCATATTTGTTTATGGTACTGCTGGGTTATTGTTTTGTTGTTTTGGCTAAATAGCCCTCACTATTTCACCATAAAAATGTATATTCATTGAACTGATCATGAATCAGTTCCTAACTTTTGTTAATATTTTGTCTTTCTCATCATGTTTATAACAACCTCATTGGGGGGCAGGAATTTTTATCTTCTTTTTACTCATAAGGAAAGCAAGGGATAATGAGAAGACTTGTCTGAGGCTTTGTAGATAGGCAGTTAGTGGGTGTGCCAGGAATGGGGTCTGGGTTCATTAGTCCTAGTCTAGTGCTCTCTCCCATTTTCTGTGCTGTGGCTTAATGAGTTAAAGGAAGATGCTAAAGCTCTCCTATCTGGATCTAAGGAAGCTAATGAAGAGTCACTCTGGGGAATGGATTTAAACAAGCTACAAGCCCGTCAGCTGTAGTTTATAGTCTCCGATGTGAGACTGACATTTGAGCTTTATGTTGATGTCTCTTTATTCCTTTTGTTAAAATGGTATTCATTCTCAATGTTGCTCCTCTGAGTAGATAAAAAAGCAGATCAGGAACCAGATACAAATGAAAGCGTACCAGGAAGTGAGTAGCAGGATCTTTTTCACAAATGACTAAACTTTGCCACTCTACATAGTGTTAAATATACTGAAATAACTAACCCCATTAATAAATAATGCAGCTTTTATTCTGGGTACTAAACTTCTGCAACTTATAAAACTATTTCATTCTGACAAGGGTTTTTTAGAAACATTTTATTACTGTCCGTGTTGAAAGGTGCTTACTCATGGCTCCATGGAGAAAGTTGTGTATTAAGATATATGTGTGTATATGTACATATATATCTTAATACATATATGTATTTATGTTTATATATGTCTTATTTTGCATATATCTTATGTCACTGCTGAGTTTTATTCTTTTTTTAAAATCAGTCTTTCTGTTCTCTGTGCTTTGCCTAAATCAAATTGGAACCTACTAATATCATTTGTCTTTTGTGGTCTTGAACACTGGATCTCTTATGACCCCTGTACAGGATTGTAGACATGAAAGCATTTGTACCCTTTTTAGCCTAAGAAAGAACTGACTTTGATAAATAATATGTAGTATAGGGCTCTGTGTGTCTCTCTACATTATCTGCATAAAAAATTTTATTGTGTGCAAAGTTTAAACTCAGGCTCAAAGTTAAGGTTACAGTCTACATACAAAACAAGTGAACCCCTGGATATCTGAAAAATAAAAGTATACTTGTGTTGACTAACATTTATCAACTAATGTCTATCACTAGACAAAGATAATCAACCTTTTATTTTCCCTTTTCTTTTCAGTCTTAAAATTAGCTACTTAACTGACACTACTCTCTTAAAGACAAAAAGGCACACTGGAAAGGTGTTTGTACCGCCTAGCAAAACAATACCAGGCATATGCATGTGTCATTTGGGCTTCCTAGTTTCAATCAGTGTACTTAACCTATGCACTGCACATGTGAAGATAATGACACATGTGCCAGTTCTTAGGAGTCTAAAGTATTTTAAATAACAAGTCCCAATTGTCTTTGGATGTCCTAATAGACCTCAATGAGAAGAGTAGTGAATTGAAGGCCCATTAGATACGCGTAAGTGCTGATGCTAGCAGTCGTTTACATCTAGCATGAAGTCTGAAGCTGCTCTGAGTTCTTCCTGTGAAGGTGCTGAGCTTTGACACACGACTTGACAAATACCTAAGAACTGCCTAGGCAAGAAACAGGACTCTGGCCCTCGTGGGTATAGAAGCTTTTCCAGATTCTGTTGAACTGGCAGGTGCTTCAGGTTGGGAATCTTATTTTTCCTTGCTATGTTTTATTGAACATTTAATCCAAGGAGTGAAACCAAGATACATAAAGACAATATGCCTACACATATGTATCTTTATTCATGACCTCCTAATTGGACAAAGCAAGGAAGCTAATTGGCTGTAGGACCCTGAGTTAATTAAGTTCTCCCTATTTTATGATATTTTCCTAAATGACCCTTAATGCCAGGGCTGAGATTATTCCCTCTCTCCAGGTGAAGTGTATTCTTACCACAAGACAAAATCAAATACAAGATCAAAACTTAAATAGGTAAAGCTTATAAATATACAATTGACTACATCTGCATAGTGCATGTAATTGATTTTGACTTAGAAGTCATTATCCAACAACATTAGTTTAAAGTACTAGAGAGCATCGTTATAATGAAAAATGTTTACATACTCACTGGGCCATTCTCCGGCCTCTAGACACCTCATCTAACACTGCTGCTTGAATAAGTTGCCTCTGAACACACACACTTGTTTAATGGGAAGTGAGTAAAACAGACGGCATTGGGGTAAAACATTATAAATGTGTTTTGATGCGTACACAGTTTTCTGTTTTTCTTTCATTAGATCTGGCTAAAATTTTATCTGATGCCAGGGTCCAAACTGAACTTTTTGAGTTGCTGTTGTGTGCCATCAAATATGTCTTACTCACAGAAACATTCTAAGACAAAGTCGAATTCACTCAGGGTTCTGCTTAACTAGGCTATAATCTTTACCGGATCAGAACTCACCACGTCCTTTCTTCCAAAGAGCCACCAGGTTTGAATGACTGACCTATCAAACACTTAGTCATTGCATCAATACGACTCCTTCTTTTGAATTACACATAAAAATATAATTTGATTTTTGTCTATTTAACTAGTATCTCTGTAAAAGACAAAGCTAAGTCAGTATATGAGGGTACATTAAAAAAAAGTATTGATACTCACATTGTTCCAGTTTTTCATGCACTAATGTATTCTAAACAAAGCATGTTTAAACCTGTCTCTGCAGCTAGTGAATGGCTGCAAACAATTTCTTTCAGTAACACATTTGTCTTAGTCCAGTTAGGGTACTTTTAAAAAAATGTCCAACAAACAGTGGTTGTTGAAGGGATACTTCTGGGCCACTTAGAGTCAAGGCAGAAAGGTCTGCCCTGAAGGGTATGGCAAGTGTATTTGGAATTCTGAAGGGATAATCTTGGCAGATTTTCTTGGAGGGCACCAATGATCACAGAGGCTTATTGGGAAGAAGTTTTAAGAAAACAGAAAACTGCGTTGGTTAGAAGACAGCCAAGGAATTTTTTTTTAATCATTTTATTGGGGGCTCATACAACTCATCACATGCCATACATACATCAATTGTGTAAAGCACATTTGTAAATTAATTGCCCTCATCATTCTCAAAACATTTGCTCTCACATAAGCCCCTGGCATCAGCTCCTCATTTTCCCCTTCCCTCCCCACTTCCCCACCCCTCATAAGTCCTTGATAATTTATAAATTATTATTTTGTCATATCTTACACTGTCCGACGTCTCCCTTCACCCACTTTTCTGTTGTCCATCCCCCAGGGAGGAGGTTATATGTAGATTCATAGAACTCTTAGCACAATCCATACATTCATCCATTGTGTCAAGCACATTCAAGGAATTTTTATCTTTCACAATCATGCCCCTGCTCATTCTTCAAGGGTAGTGTGTCCTATGAAAATGTGGTTAGGAAACCCTACCCTATACATCGTCAATCCTGATCTTACCCTTTGTTCCTAAAACTCAAAGAACCTTTAAAGGGAACACAGCTCCCTGCATCCTTGGAGGATGTCAAGCTCCTCCTTTGGCATGGGCAAATCAAAGAGTGCTGAATTCTTGGGGAGAGTTAGAGAAATGGAAAAGCCAGCTTTACAACTATTTAGACCAAATGGAAGATGTGTGAAGAAATGATTGCTTCACACGTTGATAATTTTGCTTAATAAATGTTTCTGTGATGTTGCAGCAATACTTTTTTTTTACTTACCTGCATATATGCACCATACCCTAACAATAAAATTATATCAAATATAATTTTAACAGATATTTTTGTAGGATCTACTATTTGCCAGGAATTGTCTTAAGAACCTTGAAAAATATTAACACATTCTGTATAAAATTCAGGATCTACCATAAGACATTGTGATTCTTAGACAAAGGAGAAAATAGTTTTCTAATTGGAGATGTACAAATTAGGAAGGCAATTTATCCTCTTATTATACCTTCCATACATATTCTTACTATATCAGAAAGAATCTGTAATACTACATCTTCATATTAAATTTCATATTAAATTCTTAGACTATTCTAACCTGAATTAATCATTGTTCTTGGGATATCTCTATTGGTCATTCTCTAAGTTGATAAGTATCGATAGTTTCTGTTTTCAGAAAATAACTAGATTTAAAATTGTACTCTTTCACAAATCTGAGTGACTTAGTATCAGAAAATTAATCCCATAATCATTAAACAAACATCATCTCTCAATATCCGGGACACTGTTATTAATGAGTTGTGTACAAAAATCCTTACCATCCAGATGAAATAGTTTTCAACTTGCAGCATGTTAGAAATACACTATATCTTGAGGAGATGAACCAATAAATTACAGCTTAAGCTCTTGTGGTTAGACATTCCGATGTGAAAAAAATGTAAGTGAAAACCAGTTCACATTGATAACCTTTCATTCAAGCACAGCTGCAATTGAATAAAAACTGATGGCTTTTAAAATTAATTTTTACTTTGCACTTGGTTCAACTCCTTGCTAGTTCTCTAAGTACTTTATGAAAATCGCATGTTGCTTACCTTATGATCCTGTGCATGTGAACTACTGTGCCTCTAACCTTTTACAAACACACCTCTGCTTGAAGGTGAGAGAAAAGTGTGTTTTCAGCTTATGACTAATGTGGTCTGACAACTGTAAGAATCATTTTGAAATGGAAATGATGCTGTTTAGTTTCCACAGTGCCTTCACAACCTGGTAATCCGTTTTCCCACCCTGACAAACTCAAAAGGATGAGCAAGTCTGTTCCAGCCTTTCTCCAAGATGAGGCAAGTTTGTCTTTTGTGCTTTTAGAGAAATGGAATCAGACAGGTGGATTTGCTATGTCAAGGTTGGTGTATTCATATTCCACTGTGGCAGAGGCCAAAGAAGTCAGCCTTCCTGGTCAATAGAGGTAGTGTTGTTGATCCTGGAACAAGGAAAGGCATTTTTCATTTGACTCAAATAGCAACTCTTCTTGGTCAGCAAAGCCAAATTGCATAGATTTGGGAATGTCACTTTTGTTTCAAGGCTGAAATATATTGGCATGAACTAGCTATAATTTGGAGTGAAGTTGATTTGCGAAAACTTGGTTGAGGTACCATCAACCAGGTTGAAAATATTTGTTAAAATAATAAAAATAGCAATGACATGAGCAAAATGTAAGAGTCTCTAGTAGATCCTCCGCACTTTACATACATTATTTTATCTAATCTCCCTAAGTACCCTGGGAGGTACACACCACCATTATTCTCAGATAATATAGGTATGGAAACAGACGTAGAGAGGTGAAGTAACCTCACTCAGCCAGACGGGCATTGAAGTAGGCCTGACACTGGGTCTGACTACTCCAGAGCCTACCTCTACAACATTTTATCTCAAATGAAAACACGATTAATCACTACTATTTGTTAATGACTACTAGTATGTACCAGGTATTTACTATTCAATCTAAAATCCAACCTTCACTAACTGAACTCATAGGGGGCAATTTTCTCCATTTATCAAAAAGGAAAAAACCTAAGAGAGGCTAAGTAACTTACCCCAAATTCAACAGCTGCTAAAAAGTAACTTGGGACTCAGGTCCTTTGTCCTAAGATCTCATGCTCGTAGGCAATCAGGTAGATAGAACCCTGAACTGTGGAGTCAGGCATTCCCAATTCTGGCTATGCTACTTATTTGTTGTGGGATGGAGAAGGTCCTTAACCTCCCTGCGTCTGGTTTCCTGGTACCTACCATATAAGATTAAGGAATCTTGCTAACCGCAAGATCAGGAGTTCGAAGTTACCAGCCACTCCTTTGGAGAAAGAAGGGGCTTTCTATTCCCCTAAAGAATTACAGTCTCAGACACTCACATGGCAGTTCTACCCTGTCCTATAGTGTCACCAAAAGTCAGAATCGATGGAATGACAGTGAGTTTGTTTGTTGTTGTTGTTGTTGTTTATATGGCATTGCGGTTATCCGTTGGTCTGCTAACCTGAAGGTCAGCAGTTTCAAACCACGAGCTGCTCCGTGGGAGAAAGTTGAGGTTTCCTGCTCCCAACGAGAGTTAAAGTCTCAGAACCCACAGAGGCAGTTCTACTCTGCCTATAAGGTCACTGTGAGTGGGCATCAACCTGATGACTGTGAGCTTGACTATGTAAGAGTGTGAGGAGTCAATGGGGAAACAGAGAACATAGTTCCTGGCATATAGTGAGTACCTGGTAAATGACACCTGCTACTATTTGCAGTTTCAGTCTGATTTCTGGTGGTGAGATAAAAAGCTTTAGTCTTCAAACGTTCTCTTAGTAGGTGGCATGTTAGGAAATCTCAGCAACAAACACATCATGCCTACCCTCCCTCCCCTCCATTTCCTGAGCACCAAATAAATTCAACCCCTCTGTCCATTCTTGGACCTTGATGAACCGTGTCTGTAAACATTCCGCTCGTGCATGTACTTGAGTGTGCACAGGACAGCTTCACTTGGAAAGAATCCCTCATCCTTCGGAACTGACTCATTAGCAGGATCCCATAGGCAGGCATCCCAGGTGCTCCTGTCGTTTTTCACCTTTGTGAATTCGCTTTGGTCTCCCAACACAGCAGGATTGGAGGGGTCATGTGAATGAATCATATAATAATTTGAGAGGCAGATGATACCTGCTCCTGGTTCAGGTTTTTGGTTTCCCCTACTCCCTTCAGTTTTAACCAGCTGTCTCTTAGCTCCACCACAAAATAGAGTCCAGGTCATTTGGATTTGTGCATCACAGATGCCAAAATTAAGCTATATCATTTTACCTTTCAAAGTACATTCAGTTGAACTCAATACTAAAAGAAAGCAGGCCTTGTTCCTTTGTTCGCTGTCCCTTTCAGGTTTAACATGGTCACATTTGTTGCGTGACAGCTATATGAACAGTATGGTTGTAGGTTAATAAGATGGATCCTGTTCACGAATTAGTCTGATAGATTAGGTAAAATGTAGCACCTACCTTAATAGAGGGAAATGGGCTGTAAGCTTGGGGTGGGAGGAGCAATAGAAAAACACTAGAAATGTATACTTTCCTTTTTCTTTTTAAAAATCTTTGAGGGGGATTCTTGTCCATGTAAGTGATTGATTTTGTTTTTCCTTAACTCCCTTTCTTAATCTGCATCGAATCGGCATCCATCATGATGCATAATTGCATGGCCCTGGAATACGTTGGCATGAACTAACTACTACATGCAGGTGTTTCCTTAACCAGAGCAGCCATGGAGCCTTCCAAACCAAAATAAACCCAGTCAGAATCATAAGTGTTTTAGAGTATAATTTGATATGCTTTAGATATAATAAAATCTGTCATTGCCACTTCCTTTCTTGTGTCAGGTAAATATTTCCAGAGACATACTTGAAACAAGACTCTTACTGCCTTTGTCTTTGTTTTTTTTTAAAGAAATTGTTTAAGTCCAATATGAGCAGAATACTTTCCCATAACAGCATAAGACAAGCAAGATAGCACTACGTAAACATAGAAGGGTGGCTTAAATTAAATATAACCTGTAGATGAAAGAGATAAAACTTTGTTTTTCCTAGTTTAATCAAGTTTCAAGTAAAAGATTTGATTTTTAGGGAAGTTAAGGCTACGATAACTGTGAAAGGGATTCAGCATGATTTTTTTAACAGTAAATTTGAGACCTTTATTCTGAGTGAAGTTAAGTTCTTACACTAAGAAAGTTCTCTGAGCAGCACAAACGCATATTAGAAGTGACAAGAGTGCTTGCAATCATGCTGCCGTCTGTAGCACATTGTGGTGGAAATAGTAACTGGTTTTGGTAGCTAGCCACGGCCCTCCCTAGGTCAGGTCCAAGGCAGACCATCCACCCCATCTGTCTTCTGTGCCTTGGCAATTATCAGCAATGTCCATTGACCTTGGGGAGCATCATAGATCAGAGAGATACCGAGATATCATCTTGCCTAAGCTGAGGTTCTGCCTTTGATTCCTTCTGAATTTAAATCCTGTGTGTATTATATGATGTTTTGTAGAGTGATGACAGAGAAACAGATACAGCGTCAGAAAGCAGTTACCAGCTCAGCAGACACAAGAAGAGCCCGAGCTCTTTAACCAATCTTAGCAGCTCCTCTGGCATGACGTCCTTGTCTTCTGTATGTAAACAAATGCTCCATGTTAATATCGCTCTGCTTCCTTGAACCCTGCTCTGCCTTGCTCCTGTTCATTATAAAAACAGACTCTTTATTTCTCGGATTCCGAGGGCATGAATATCTTCCCTAATTCACACAGTTAGTTACTAGCTAAATCTCCCTTATTTTTTTCTCTCTTCTCTCACTGTTTTATTTTCCTGCACCGAGGGGGTATAGAGGAACCCTGGTGATGTAGTAGTTACACACTGGGCTGCTAACTGTAAGGTCAGCAGTTCAAAACCATGAACCTTTTCATGGAAGATGGGGCTTTCTAATCTCGTAAAGAGTTACAGTCTCAGAAACTCTTCAGGGCAGTTCTACCCTGTCCCTATAGGATTGCTGTGAGTAGGAATTCACTCAATGGCAGTGAGTTTGGTTTCTGATTTAGAGGGGGTAATATTCATTATAAATGTTGTTTATTAACTATACTTTAAGAATAAACTTAAGTGTTCAATAAAGTGAACTATTCAATTTGTCTGTGCAACAATGGAATAACTAAAGTGCATATATCAGTTATGTATTCATAATCTGCTTACATGTATACTATTGTACCTCTGTTTAGCAGGCTTGATAAATGAAAATAATGATTTTCATAAAGGAACTGGTGAGGTGATTCTTTTCCCTCTTGAGGGAGTTAGAGTAAGATTTTAAAAAGAAAGTTCTTTAAAGATAGTTAAATCAAGCTGAGACTGGACTTAAGAAAATTTGGCTTAGCCTTTCTTTCATAGAGTAGGGTAATTATGTGCATGTAGTATGGTGTATATGCATATGCACATGTATATGTAAATATAGCTATATACACTTATTCTAACATTTCTCTGATATACCTATGTATGCTCTTATCTCACCAGGTATGCTAATCAAAGGATAAATCTGTGCTTAAATTTTTACTAGCTTAGCATTTATGCAAGTCTTTGTTTTGGAATCTATTTAAATTGAGTTTCTGCTGATAACAGTCCAATGTCTGCCCTTGGAAAGATTTTGAAACCTATTCATTCATCATCCATTTTCTGCCCTTTCTGACCTATAAAAGCACTTGACTCTAAGCTTTTTCCTAAACTTGATAGGGCCATGTAGTAAAATTTCTTTTTCGTGCCTTGGAAAGAAATGTGATAGAGCAACATGTCCCTGTGATTTATAATCCTGGGTTTCTCACAGCATCTGTCTTTGACTTTTGAATACATTGCACATGCTTAAAACTGGGGCTCTAAATGCCATCAAGCAGCAAATGACCCTGCTCTGAAATGAGCCAGCAGCTAAGTAACTTTGTGTTTCACATCTCATCTAAGATTGTTTTAAGGGCAACTTAAACACACACACATACACACATCATTCTCCCTTCCCCCACATACACAAACCACTGATTATGTACATTGTGTCAGGTTGTCTGGGTTGATATGCTTTTATGTCACATTAAATGAATAGCTCTTATATTAAGGTGACCAGATTTTAACATTGGTAAAACGGGACACCATTGATAAAACTCATATCCTGGCGAAATAGCCACACGGCAGCCAAAAACCGTATACCCTAGCTTGTCGTGCATTCTTTCCAAAAATCGGGACTTTTTTAAAACACCATGGGACACGGGAAAAATTGTTAAAAATCAGGACTGTCCCACCAAAAGCAGGATGTCTGGTCACCTTATCCAAGTTAGAGAAATCATGGCAAACAAGGATTTTATGCATGGTCCTTGTGTCGCATGCATGAATGAGATAGAGGCAAACACTGTGTTTCTGATACTTTCAGGTGAGTGGCAGTGTAATGAGTGTTTATAGTGGAGACTTTGGCAATCTGGAAGTTAAAGGGAATATTCAGTTTGCAATCGACTATGTGGACTCGCTGAAAGAGCTGCATGTTTTTGTGGCGCAGTGTAAGGATTTGGCAGCAGCAGACGTGAAAAAACAGCGTTCGGACCCGTAAGTACATATTGGAGTTACCTATCTACTGTCTCTTAAATTCTCAAACTAATAATCTTCTGAGAACTAGAAAGGATGGAAGTAGCCAAAGGGAGGATGTGACTGAGCTAAAAGGAATGTTGGAAAAAGGAAAGGTGGGGAGAAATGTTCTTTTATTTATTTTAGGAATTCATATGCCAAACTTATTAAACTATAAAAGTCACAGAGAAGTACAGAATGTTTCAAGATGGAAGGGGCCTTTGAGGTCATCTCTCTAGTCTGTTAGTTTACAGATAGAGAAACCATGACCTCTTTGCCTAAGTGCAGACAATCAATAGAAGAATGAGGAATGAGGACTTGAACCAAGGCCCCTTTCCACAATAGTTTCTCCAAAATTAGAGATCTGTGAAGCCCAAGTAAGAGCCTTGGTGGCTTAACTGGATGCATGCTAAGGGTTTTTTTTGGTTTTTTTGGTCCTAAGACAGTTACAAATTCTTCAAGTCCTAAAGCCTGCTGACAGGAGAAAAACACACACACACACACACACACACACACACAGAATAGCATTGTCGGTTGTCAGCAGTCATCTAATTGATTCCAACTTGTATTAGGTAAAACCAAAGGAAAAGAAGAATTTGGAAAACTTTCTTTCAAAATCCTTCAAACGACCAATTTTGCTGAAATCCTATTATGCAATTAAGCACATGTCATTGATGGCAAAATTATTGTTTATTGCTCTTCTCAGTGTCAGAAGTTAGTTGCTGTTAGTTTTTGATGCATTTTTTTTAAGTAGTGGCAGAAGCATCACTTTTATCTCCTGATCTTCTTGTCTGTTCATTTCTATTTTCAGTTATGTAAAGACCTATTTGTTACCAGACAAAGGCAAAATGGGCAAGAAGAAAACATTCGTGCTGAAGAAAACGTTGAATCCTGTGTATAATGAAATACTGCGGGTATCTATGAACTCTTCCTATAGGAAACTCTTACATGGTGACATATACATTTAAATAGCCATAGCTTCCTAGCGGTACAGTGGATTACGCTAACCACAAGATTGGTGGTTCAAATCCACTAGTCTCTACATTGGAAAAAGATGAGGCTATCTGCCCTCATGAATACTGAGTTTCAGAAAGCCTCGTACGATCAGAATCCACTCAGTGGCATTGGGTTTGGATTTTCTTGGGTAGTATCTTTATACAGATAAAGTTGATCATCAAGAGAGGAGAAGGAAGCAAAAAATTTTCTGAGACTCTGTTTTGTATGAAGCTATGTATTATGCATGCTATATACATTATCTCGCTTTTTATTCATAAATATGCAGTATCTGTAACTCACAGACGAGGCAAATGACACTAAAGGAAATAAAGTAATTTCCTTGTGGCACACATCTGATAAAGTTGAGCACTGCCACCAAAATAATCCAGAATAAAAACGCAGTTCATCTCATTTCTTTGATTACAACCTTTTAGGACCTCTATGACTTATGATCAGATCTATCCTTCTTCACATGATGCCAATTCCTTTACAATCTCTGAACTTTGGCCTCATCTCCCTTTCATTTTCTGTATTCAAGCCACACTCTTTTCCTTTCCATTCTTTTGGCAGTATTACATTTTCTCATACTGCTAAAGCCTTGGGTCCTTTTGTTGTCGTATTCTTCCCACATCCTTTCCTCGACTACTTCCCACACATCCTCTTCTGTGACAGTTTGTCCTTAATCCCTAAATTCCCTTGCTATCTGGTGCCTTAGTAGCCTTGTTTCATACTAAGCTGTGTTACCACTCAGCACTTCCAGCTCTGGTTTAGTTGTCAGTCTTCCCACAAAACTGTAAATTCCATGGGGCAGATACCAACTCAGGAGGCTTGCAAACAATGTGCCTTTGGAAAATGACTCACCTGCTCCTCAGATCTGATTAAATAAAGTAAAAGAGTCAATATATGTAAAGTGATGCAATACCAAAACCAAACCAAACCCACTGCCACTGAGTCGATTCCAACACATAGCCCAACTCATAGTGACCCTCTATAGAGTTCCAAAGACTATAAATATTTATGGGAGCAGCTGATGGATTTGAATTATTGGCCTTGCAGTTAGCTGACCAATGTTTATCCCACACCACCTTCTGGGAAGTGATTAGCATACATTAAATATTTAATATGTTGGCTTCTACCTATTATAAGGAGCTCTGGTGGCACTGTGGTTACGAGTTGGCTCTAACCACAAGGTCTGTAGTTCGAAACCACCAGCCACTCCTTGGGAGATATGATGGAGCTTTCTACTCCTGTAAAGAGTTACAGTCTCAGAAACTCACAGGGGCACCCCTGTCCTGTCCTATGGGGTTGCTATGAATTGGCAATGAGTTTTGTTTTTGAGTTCTTAATGGTTATTACTATTATATCCCTGATTCTTCATTCAATGTCTGGCATATTATACACCCTCAAAAATGTCTATTGGATGCTTGTCTGAATGGAAAGATGGGTAGAAAGTATACTTTACTCAAATATCCATATTCTTTTTATCCCTCAATATCATGCTATTTCAGTCATCATTAGCATCATTTAAAACTACCAATACTAGAATATACTGTTCATTCCCCCTTTCTAAAAGTTCTGTTCAAATATATGATTATTCTCTGGGAAAAGGAGTTAAATCAACTCGTCATTTGTGAATGCATTAGTCACCTTGTGAATTTTCTGTTACGTTTTTAATCACAGTTTGACAGTTACATATCCCTACCATTTCTGGATCATCAATTTCAGCCCTCTACTAGGAAACGCCAGCAAATTTAAATGGTAAACTCAGAAAAGACAAGTCAGCTACAAAAAGGGTGGGGGGGGCATCCACATTATTTATTATAAAGCCAAATAGAAATATTTTAGATGACAACTATCTCATCCATAATGATTATGTGTAATTAAGGATTGGCTACATTTTAGATGAAAAAAAAATGGTTAAGGTCCCAAGCCTTTTCCACTTGACCCTACGAAGCAGGGAAAACAAGTATAGATGTTTTTAGGGGGGAAAAAATTAACTTATCCTTTAAGTAGAAAACAGCTTTGAGGTAAACTGGGTTTTGTATTTTTAGACAGCATTTAATTTTTTTTAACTAATTAGAACAAAACACTCAGTAAAAATCAAATAATTGGCTTTTGTTTTTAGAGAGCTGTTACCAGCTGTGATAGTTAAGATATGATTTGCTTTCCCAGAGAGAAAAATTAAATCCAGTTTGTGAAAGATGGATTTCAGCACCTGTAGAATAAGATAATATTTTCAGAGCGGAAACCTAACAGATGAGAGACATCTGATCTACACAGATGACGTTTCTCTTGTCATAGTTTTGGCGTGAAATAATAGCATGCATTATCTTAATTTCGCCTTCCCTGAACGGCAGTACAAAATTGAAAAGCAAATCTTAAAGACACAGAAGCTGAATGTATCCGTTTGGCATCGCGATACGTTTAAACGCAATAGTTTCCTGGGGGAAGTGGAGCTTGATTTGGAAACATGGGACTGGGACAACAAACAGAATCAGCAGTTGAAGTGGTACCCTCTGAAACGGAAGGTAAGTTCTGAGTGTTTGTTCGTTTGGTTGGTTCGTTGTTTGGGGCCTTGTGTGTAAAAGCGCTATAAAATTGCATTTTAATTCAGAGCACTGTCACAGATTGGGGTCATTTTTAACTTCCTTATTGTATTCTATCAGTGAAGAAAGGCAAAAGGGATTATGGGGAGAAAATTGAAATCATTTACACAGATGTTTCAGAGTCTTCAGAAACATTATTTAAAGAGTTACATTCTTTAAAATTTGAGGTTTTTAGCATAGTAAATGGTCAGGTTTTGATAAATTCTGTGGTGGTTGGATACAATGTTTTAGATCTATCAATTAAGTCAAATTAGTTAATAATTAAGTTAGCTTAATTCTCCTATAGGCTTATTAGTTTTATGTCTGTTTTTACTAGGAAAGGTATAATGATTTATCTTTCTCTCCTTTTAATTGTTTTTCAATTTGTATTTGGAGGTTACCTAATTAAATATATAGAAATTTATAATTATTATACAAGAGGACATCAAAAAGTTAATTGAGAAATGGAACTGAAAGATAATGGGATTTTTCCATGAACTCTTTGAAGCACCTCTCATATTTAGGAAATTGATAAATGACCATTTATCACTTTAAAATATCCCTTTTATTTCATGTAATGCTTCATCCCTTAACATCTATTTTTTTTGTTACTATACCCGTATTAGCTTTTTGTTGTTGTTGTTAAAATTTTGATCTAAATATATTTGGATTTTAATTGACTTATCCTATATATATTTAATGTAGTTATTGACCTATTTGTATTTAAATCTATAATCTTAATATTTGACCAATTTTACTTATTATTTTCTTTCTTTTTTACTTAGTATTTAAATAAATCTCTTTTGGGATTAATCACGTTTTTATTTCATTCCCCCTCTATTAATATGTCAATTGCAGTTTCTTTTCTTTTTCTTAAATTAATTATCCTACCAGAAATTACAAAATCTTTCTTTCATCTGGATTAAGTTTCCTTTCGATTTCCTTAGTCCACTGACCAAAGATGGGAATGAATAGTTTAGTCCTCAGACATCCAAAAACCCACTCAGTGCAATGGATTTGATATGGACTCATGGTGACCCTATAGGACAAGGTAGAACTACCCTTGTGGGTTTGGGAGACTAACTCTTTAGGGGAGTAGAAACCCCCTTCTTTCTCCCAAGGGTGACCTGGTGGTTTTAAACTGCTGACCTTGCAGATCACAGCCCAGGTAGTAAGACTCTACTCTCAGGGCTCCTGTGCATAGTGCATTGGAAAGTGGATTACTGCTGATATAACCAAACACACTTACTGCCATTGAGTTGATGCTGACTCATCACAACCTATAGGTCAGGGCAGATCAACCCTGTGGGAAAGCCTCCTCCTTCTTCCTCAGGGTGACTGGTGGTTTCCAACTGCTCACCTAGTGGTTAACAGCCCAACACATAATCACTTGGCCACCAGGGTTCCTATTGCAGATATAAGGAGGTTAAAATTAAACATCTTGTCATTTATTTCCCCTTTTGAACTATTTTTAACTTGTTCTACTTCTTTAAAATTTTTCCATTCTTTTGGTTTTAGTTTTTTTCTGTACTTTATTTTGTTGTTGTTAGGACATTTTTGTATGATTTTCTTTATATGAAATTCAGGATAGAAATCTATAGAGACAGGAACGAGCTGAAGAGTTTCTTAGGGTTATGGCAAAGGAGGTTGGGGGGAATGGGAAGTTAATAATAATGGACACAAGAATGAAAAGGGCCTTCTGAAATCAATGGTGGTGATGAATGCACAGATTTTTAACATATTAAACAATTGAATTGTATGGTCTGTAAATTTTGTCAATAAAACTATTTAAAATAATTATTTAATTTTTAAAAATACAATGTGCTAGACATTATCTCCAAAAGATTTTGATTCAGTAAGGTCTAGGCCCAAGGATTTTCATTTCTTTCTTTCTTTTTTTGGAGTGTTTTTTATTGTTGTTAGTTGCTATTGAATCTGCTCCAACTCACAGTAACCCCGTGCGCACAGAATGAAACCTGGCCCAATCTTACACCAGCCGCAGGGCTGCTGCTAGGTCTGAGCCCAGGTTTGCAGCCACTTTGTTAATCTAATTCAACGACGGTGGCCCTCTTGTTTGCTAACACGCTACTGTATCAAGCATGCATCCTTCTCCAGTGATAGGTTGCTCATGAAAGCCTATTCAAAGTAAGCAAGATCAAGTCTTGCCATCCTAATGTCTAAAGAACATTCTGGCAGCACTTGCCTCAAGGCTGAGTTATTTGTTCTTCTTCTTCTTCTTTTAATCATTTTATTGGGGGCTCATACAGCTCTTATCACAATCCATACATCCATCCATTGTGTCAAGCACACATGTACATTTGTTGCCCTCATCATTCTCAAAACATTTTCTTTCTACTTGAGCCCTTGATATCAGCTCCTCATTTTTCCCCTCCCCCCCCCACCCTTCCTCCTTCACCAACCCTTGATAATTTATTTTTTTTTAAATTGTAAACCCCCTCTCTGGGGGGATGGACAGCAGAAAAGTGGGTGAAGGGAGACATCCATCAGTGTAAGAATTTACATTTCTAACAAGTTCCCAGGCCACACTTGGAAAACCACTTGTTTAGGACATTTTCAATCTTGGAAGAAGTACAACCGGAATGCCGCTGAACAGTGAGATTGGTAAGACTGCGCCACACATGCTGTGGACATGTTGTCAGGAGAGACCAGTCCCTGGAGAAGGACATCGTGCTCTGTAAAGTAGAGGGGCACAAAAAAGAGGAAGGCCCCCCACACGATGGGTCAACATGGTGGCTTCAACAATGGGCTCCAGCATAGAACCATTGTGAGGCGGCACAGAACGGGGCAGTGTTTGGTTCTGCTGGGCATTGGGTCTCTCTGAGTTGGAATCAACTCGATGGCACCTAACCACAGGCCTAGTCTCCCCAGGCCATGTGACCGGCTTTGCTCAGCTTCTCAATTTCTCTCTGCTGGGCTTTTGATACTCTCCATTTGTCACGACTTGAAATGGAAAGTAGAGAAGAATGTCAAGCTCCAAGCTCTTGTCCATTTGAGTTGTGTCTGTCTGGTTACAATTGTTACACCTTCAATTGGATTTTTAAATCTGTCTCTTCTTACTGTTTTCAATATGAAGTGCAGACTGGTCTGAACCAAGTTAGTTCATTTAAGATGAAGTGATAAATATTTTTTAAAATACAGAGTGTGACTTAGAATCTATATCATAAAGCCATTCCACTAAATAATTGGTTCCAAAATATTGCACCAGAATTACTTGAAGCTCTATTTTTAGCGCTTCCCAATGTCCGGTGACTGAATCCCTCTGAAGATGTTCGACTGCCTCACTCTTAGCCACTCCTCTTATACTTCTGATACATCACACTACTTTGGAGATAAAGCTCTGAAGGATGCAAATTTAAAAGTAAACGCATCTCTCTTATGCTGGGAAATACTAGATAATGCATTTCCAAATTACTGTTCAGTTTTTGTTATTCTTGTAGACTTCTACTCATTTGGTCAAAAAATAATCAGTTTAATGCAACTTTGAAAATGTAAGATTTGGCTTTTTCCCCCTGCATTCCTACACTATTCCCACTCCATCAAAGAGTGGAAATGCCAACCGTGCTTTATGTACTGGTCTGCCAATAGCTAACAAAATATATGTCTTTTTGTGAAAACGAAAGCATCTCAGGACATCTCTCTCATCTCCAAGAAAGTCATTCTGATTTCTCGCCCCGCTGCCCACCATCATCTTTGACATGTTCTCTAAGTACCTCGCAAAATTTCCCAAGATGCACAGCATTGCTTCAACAGATTTAGACAGCAGCAGACTGACTGTGATGGGAAGGGAGTTTTTCATCCAGAGCACAGCGATGGGATAAGAAAGCGAGTAAGTAGTGCGTGCCTCATACCTGCTAACCTCCCTTTATTTTTCAGACAGCCCCAGTTGCCCTTGAGGCAGAAGACAGAGGGGAAATGAAGCTAGCCCTGCAGTATATCCCAGAGCCAAGCCCTGGTATGTAAAGATTTTCTATCCAGAGCCATCCTCTTTCCTTCTCCCTCTCTTCTCCAAGGATTTCTTTGGGTTCTATTATAGAATGAGACACATAAAAGCCAGAAGTTGTGGGAACTGCCTTGTTTTTCTGGGTCTCAAAAATTTTCTACCTTTGAAAGAATACAATCTTTTTTTTTTTT